AGATCATTAAAATTGATTTGAATCACAAAAAGAATGACACTTCAATATGAAAATTCAATTGACAATCCGTACTGTATTGTGACAGTGGTACAGCCCTACTGCTGCTCAATACACCAGCTTCATGAAAATGTGCTTAATTGAGCCTACATATTCGAACATCATCAATACTTAGATGGTTACAGCATCACAAGACCCCTGCTGGTCCCCATGAAGTCATCATGATCATTGAACAGCAGGACCAGCTGTTATCTCCTCTCGTATTCCCAGGATTTGTACAGTGGTATTCTCAGACCATCAATAGCACTTACTTATGCTGGGGACATGTCGGTATAAATCAGCCTGCAAGCGGAGAAATTACACAAGGTGCTATTTGTTGTTTACCTGAATTATGACCAATACTTATCATCCTTCTTAGGTGAAATGAATTGTGGGATTGAGAAATCCTTTATTGCAATGGATGCAATGGATGCAACATTACGGTGTATATGCCAACATTGTGCTAACTGTTAAATAGATTGTTCACCTGATAAAAAAATATACTCATGTAAGAAGTTTGCCATACATAAATTCTTGCATTAGATAAATATTTGGCTATTTCTAACCAAAACCCAACTGGTTCCGGGCATAATAAGATGACCAAGATGCTGCAGACTCTCCCAGTGTATTCCCAGGATCTGTACAGTGGTATTGTCACATCACCAATAGCACTTACTTATGCTGGGGACATGTCAGGGACAATCAACCTGCTGAATGTACCTGTTGTATAACAGACTCTCCCAGTGTATTCCCAGGATCTGTACAGTGGTATTGTCACATCACCAATAGCACTTACCTATGCTGGGGACATGTCAGGGACAATCAACCTGCTGAATGTACCTGTTGTATAACAGACTCTCCCAGTGTATTCCCAGGATCTGTACAGTGGTATTGTCACATCACCAATAGCACTTACTTATGCTGGGGACATGTCAGGGACAATCAACCTGCTGAATGTACCTGTTGTATAACAGACTCTTCCAGTGTATTCCCAGGATCTGTACAGTGGTATTGTCACATCACCAATAGCACTTACTTATGCTGCTGGGACATGTCAGGGACAATCAACTTGCTGAATGTACCTGTTGTATAACAGACTCTCCCAGTGTATTCCCGGGATCTGTAGTGTATTCCCAGGATCTGTACAGTGGTACATGTCACATCACCAATGTAGCACTTACCAGTATGGATCTGGGGACATGTCAGGGACAATCAACAATCAACTGAATGTACCTGTTGTATAACAGACTCTCCCAGTGTATTCCCAGGATCTGTACAGTGGTATTGTCACATCACCAATAGCACTTACTTATGCTGGGGACATGTCAGGGACAATCAACCTGCTGAATGTACCTGTTGTATAACAGACTCTCCCAGTGTATTCCCAGGATCTGTACAGTGGTATTGTCACATCACCAATAGCACTTACTTATGCTGGGGACATGTCAGGGACAATCAACCTGCTGAATGTACCTGTTGTATAACAGACTCTCCCAGTGTATTCCCAGGATCTGTACAGTGGCATTGTCACATCACCAATAGCACTTACTTCTGCTGGGGACATGTCAGGGACAATCAACCTGCTGAATGTACCTGTTGTATAACAGACTCTTCCAGTGTATTCCCAGGATCTGTACAGTGGTATTGTCACATCACCAATAGCACTTACCTATGCTGGGGACATGTCAGGGACAATCAACATGCTGAATGTACCTGTTGTATAACAGACTCTCCCAGTGTATTCCCAGGATCTGTACAGTGGTATTGTCACATCACCAATAGCACTTACCTATGCTGGGGACATGTCAGGGACAATCAACCTGCTGAATGTACCTGTTGTATAACAGACTCTCCCAGTGTATTCCCAGGATCTGTACAGTGGTATTGTCACATCACCAATAGCACTTACCTATGCTGGGGACATGTCAGGGACAATCAACCTGCTGAATGTACCTGTTGTATAACAGACTCTCCCAGTGTATTCCCAGGATCTGTACAGTGGTATTGTCACATCACCAATAGCACTTACCTATGCTGGGGACATGTCAGGGACAATCAACTTGCTGAATGTACCTGTTGTATAACAGACTCTCCCAGTGTATTCCCAGGATCTGTACAGTGGTATTGTCACATCACCAATAGCACTTACTTATGCTGGGGACATGTCAGGGACAATCAACTTGCTGAATGTACCTGTTGTATAACAGACTCTCCCAGTTTATTCCCAGGATCTGTACAGTGGTATTGTCACATCACCAATAGCACTGACTTATGCTGGGGACATGTCAGGGACAATCAACCTGCTGAATGTACCTGTTGTATAATCATTGAAATTTAGCACAAGTTAGATTTTGGTCAGTCACCCACTTCATAGGTTACAAATGCAGGACAGCCTAGAAGGAACTGCATTTGGAAAGTTTGTTCATTTAGCAAGCTTGGGATTAACCTAAGGTTCTGGACACCTTCCCTGAATTATGAAGTATATTAAAGGTCTTATTTTGTGATAAATTCTACTGATCAAATCTCCATTCTGATATCAGCTTACATACCATATTTCATCTTTAGAACTTGCCCAGGGCTCCAGATAATTTTAACATCAGGAGTACGTACTAATTAATTTTTCAATATAGGAGTACTGGAGTACATCTGGAGTACTGAATGGAAAATAATGGCGTATCAGTAATCTTGTGTTTTGTTTTATATATGCACCACAACATTGCTGCTCTTGTGTAAACAGGTCAATAAAGAATCAAACAATACTTTTTCAGATAAATATGTCTGTAAGTGATTTTAAGACCATACACCATTGCTGTGGTGAGTATCTGCTACGCTTTCTAAATGTACGTTTTCCTACTGTATAGTGCATATTTTCTACCCGTATATACGCCGATACGGCCCTTATCTGGAGCCCTGTTGCCTACCCTGAATTGCCCCTTATAAGGGCTGCAATGAATATACTTTATCATGTTTATATCATGTAATGGAGGGTGTCATCGGTGCAATCTGATAAACTTGGTATCCAAATCTGAATACGCAAACAACTCCACACACGCCATACAAGTCCCAAAATGTCAACTTACATTGATGACATCGTTGCAAGTTTACAAGGGGTTTTCCATTGTGTGGGCGAACAAACATGGCTGCCCCCATGATCAAAATTGGTGATTCTGTAAGAATTGATGACAGGTACAGGAGTCGTCACTTTTTGGGTGCCATTACCAAAAAAATTTCCTCTAATACTTGTATTCTATACCAATAATATTAAAAATTGTAGCTGCCTATTACCAATTGTTTGTTTTCATGTTTTTCTATAATAGTGGATATTAAACATGAACTGCCTCCCTCACCAATTGTTTTTTATTCAGTTATACAACTCCGTTCAATGACATTCAGAATGGCATGTCAACATGCCTGGAGTTTGGGATCATTATCCGTAGTGTATACATTATTAATTTTCATTTTCAATGTACTTTTTAACAACTTTCTTTAGCTCAAACATGATGGAGTATCTTATTGAGAATGGCATGGATCAACATGGTGTCTGGAGTTGACAATGGATCAACAAAATTTATGTAGCTACCCCACAGGGATTAATTTTATTTTCAAGGTACTTTTTATATACAAGTGACTATAATAAGTTATCACTGAGTTTGCTACTAGCTGGCTTTGAATTATTTCATTTATTAGAGTATCTGTGATGATCATGATGCACAATACAATATCATTATTAATAATAACAAAAGTGTCTGGGATCCCATTTTGTTGTCCAAGACCCTGAAAGTTCAGTCCCAGGGACCCTCACATACAGGACCCTATGTAAATTCCTGTTTTCTGTATTACACCGACTCCCACAGTGGTCATACTGGTTCTACATTGTTAATATTTTATAAGGCTTCACTGCAGAAACATTACAGAAATTCAGTTCATATGGGGGTGGTTAGGGGGGCTTGCCAAAGGCTTACATAATACATAGTTTTTATTCCTAATACAGGATGTTGATGATACGGAAACACACAAGATAATTAAGCTCTATGTAATATGTTACATATCATTAACATTAACAAACTATTCTTTGACCATGTTGATAAGTGTTTATCATTGAACCATATTATTTTCAAATTAGATTATATATAAAAGGTATTATATTTCATTACCACTCAAGGTAAAAAATGTAATTTCAACAACAATTTTATGTGCTTTGTATTTGGACTTGATCCTTGTCTTGAAATTAATCATTATTTTGGATGCATATTATATTAGCGATCAGGTCAACGTGTCAGAGATTGTTTTTGAAATCCACACAAACAAGGTGTATTTGACGCTGTGTACGTGAAGGAAATGTGTAATAAACGATGTAGTAATGGCATCATGTTGAAGCATCTGCTAACGACCTCAAACTTTTGTTTTGCACATGAGAGCCTCCTCATTTATTCCAAGAGGACAGTTGTTAAAAATGCAGTCATGAGAATCAATGAAATCTTGTGTAACAAATCCTGTTCCATGGAAGTGACCTCCCTTTTCATAACTCAAACCATCTAATTCCTTGTATGAAATCACTTGAAATTGTTAGAAAGCACCTAGTCCTTTTCTTAGTCTTGCTGCTGGGTCTAGATGTTGGGCACACTGCAACACTTGCCATAAAGGCTCTCTTAGCTTTGTCGTGGAAAAACTAACGGATCGGTCCGTCCAGTGTTTTTTGGTTGTCAGGTCAGCAAATTTGTATATCACACTATACGGTGTCCAGTTGACTTTCCAATGTTTATTATGTTGTTTATTTAAATAATCAGCAAGAAAGCGGTTATTATAGTGGGAAAATAATCAGGGCTCACTCTTAGTCTTGCTTTACATGTTGCCACAGTACATTAGCAATTTTAAACTTATTTCCACCCCTCATACATTAACTTACGACTATCTTAGCGCTAAGAGAGCTTCCAAACCTAGGCCCAGGATGTTAAATGTTGTACCTGTAAGGGTTTTTGGAGTTCCCTGTAGTCTGTCTGGTGATGGAGTCCTTGAAGATCTGTCTGCGGTAGATCTTCTCCTCCACCGACCCACAAGTGATCATCCTGTAGATGACGACGTTCTTATTCTGGCCGATACGGAACACTCGGTCCACAGCCTGGGCATCTGTGGCAGGGTTCCAGCTGGGGTCGTCTGGGGATTGGTTGGAAGAAATGCAAATGTTATAGTTGGGATTACTTTTCTGAGTAAAGCCCATATTCTACCCATATTTGGGTACACTCTCGAGGTAAGGCACCGTATCTCATCAATCCCACTTACCAATAGACACAACGAAATTATGACTGGTAATGCAAATTTTAAAACTTATCCTATTGCACAAGAAGGTTAGCACTTCTCTCTTGCTTGATTAAGATTTAATAAAACTTTTAATCATGACAAAAACAAATGTAAATAATATTTGGCACTGAGTGTAACGACTTTAAAAGGGAGTTGTATCATTGTACAGGACGATTGATTGTACAGGAAATATTGTGAAAAGACTTGTATTATTTATGAAAACTTGTATTATTGTAAGGAGATTTGCATTATTGTAAGGACTCACAAATAACCACCCTGTCTGCTGAAGTCAGCGTCAGTCCCATGCCGCCAACCTGAAGATCAGAATCAATACTGTACATGCTAACATTTGGTCGTAATTCATCGAACAAATATGTCATTTCATCTGGAACATCATGCTCCCAGTTCTGGGGGCGTAAATATATCACTGTGTATCCAGTGTCAAAAAATTTCAACTGGAACCAAAGACAAACATATTGATACAACTAACAACTGAAGTGATGAGGTGTCCATTTTAACTTTTTAACAAGCTGAACAGCCCAACTGTTTTTGAAAGTGTTTCCAAAATGTGAAAAACTTCATCCAATACCCTTTAACAATGATTTTCAACTAATAAGATTGCTGCACACTCACATTAACTTTATACAATACTATCACCAAAGCATATATTTTACATGTCAATACATAAAACTGCTGCATGCACTAGTTTACCTTTCATCATTTAAAGGTTATTATTATGGCACCTTACCATTTTGCAAAACAAAGACTGAGTGAGTGAATTTAGTTAGCTTTACGCCGCTTTTAGCAATTTTCCAGCAATATCACGGCGGGGGACACAGAAATGGGCTTCATACATTGTACCCATGTGAGGAAACAAAACCGTGTCTTTAGTGTCGAGTAAACGCTCTAACACCTAGTTTCATGATACTATTTAAGCTGGTTGAAAACAGCATCCACTAATAAACCATGGACAAATTGGCGTAAATTATACATCGCAAAATGTAGAACATTTCTCAAGGATTCTACTCATTTGGGACAGCTACTACAAACTAAATAACCTCCCAGAATCTGTAAGATCAGCAGAATCTCCATCACCGATCACTCTGCGGTTGACTCTACCTGTGTTGTGAGAAGGAAGACTGAGAAGGAGCTGTCTGTCTGGAACTTCTGTATACGCTGGTCTCGGTCACACAGCTGGGTTATGGTGCCATCCAGACGCATGACCTTGTGTCCCTGTGAGTAACAGATAATGCTATTAGTTGCACAGTGTTTTTGAAAGGGTGTATGGAACTGTTTCACCCTTCTAAATTCCGTATTTCCTGTGGCGCAGCTGAAGGAAATGAGGAATTTACAAGGGTCTTACAGTCCCGTACACCCTTTCAAAAAACTGTGACAAATTTATTACCCTTAAGATCTCTTTATTTAGAATATCTTTAAAAACCAGCATTTATTTAGCATATCTGTAAAAACCAGAATTCAATCTTCGGCAGAATGAGACGCAAAATGTTTCGCCATTTTTCCTGAACGACCATAAAGGGAGGTAAGTCGGTATTGCTCAGTTTATCATAAAAATGATCGGATTTAAGGTTTTGTTAAACGACAGGTGGAATACAGAAACAACTTATTTTTTTAATGTTTCTATTGGCACAAACAGATAAGAAATTATGGCAACAATATCATTACTCTGTTTATACTCATTGTATACGCCAACTCTAAAATTTCGAATCGATCCACCGTTTGGCAGCCACTTCCATCCAAGGTCAAGGTTATTTGTACAATCCGTGTAGAGTGTCATGTGGCAGATGTGACAGGGTGTACGGTTTGTACACACTGGCAAATCCTCCTACATGGTTTTGTAGGCTGTTGACCAATTAGAATTCGACAACTTTATCTTAAGGATAATACATACTAATATGGTCAGCTGCTCATTGTTGTGTTCTATGGGTCAATCAGTGACTGGGGGTGTTCAGTTAGTATGCCTGACATACCTGACCAGTGAAATATCATTTAGTTGCTCTTGTGGGAATAAGAAATTCAGTCGTTTTAACTTTGAAACTTAGATATAATGTGCTAATATCAACCTTGTTAGCCCTGAATGAACCAAGATGTGCCCTGTATGAACCCAGCACTGACCTGGTATCAAGCCCTGCATGAACCTGAATGTGCCCTGCATGTACCCAGCACTGACCTGGTATCAAGCCCTGCATGAACCTGAATGTGCCCTGCATGTACCCAGCACTGACCTGGTATCAAGCCCTGCATGAACCTGAAATGAACCTGAATGTGCCCTGTATGAACCCAGCACTGACCTGGTATCAAGCCCTGCATGAACCTGAATGTGCCCTGTATGAACCCAGCACTGACCTGGTATCAAGCCCTGCATGAACCTGAATGTGCCCTGTATGTACCCAGCACTGACCTGGTATCAAGCCCTGCATGAACCTGGATGTGCCCTGTATGAACTCAGCACTGACCTGGTATCAAGCCCTGCATGAACCTGGATGTGCCCTGTATGAACCCATATGAGCATGAACACATACCCTGTTGGTCACCACTTTCTGTATGATGTCCAGCAGCTTGCGTGACTGAGAGAAGACCAGACAGCGATGCCCCTCGGACTTGAGGTTGTCCAGCAGGTCCACCAGCACAAGCAGCTTCCCTGACTCCCCGATCAGCACCTCATCATCGATGTGGTTGATCTTGTTGGCAGCACACTCCATGCCGGATGGAGAGTAATCTGTGTCGTTCAGGCTGCAGGAGGAAAGTAGTAAGGCAGGGATGGGAAACATTACTGAAGTCTGACAGGGAAAGGGGAAACATTGCTTGAGTCTGGTACAGAAAGGGGAACATTATCAAAGTCTGTAATATAAAGACATTTTTGGCCTCTGGTAGGGGTGAGCGTGAGTGAGTTCAGTTTTACGCCACATTCAGCAATATTACAGCTATATGGAGGTGTAAGTAAGTAATGGAGTCTGGTCCAGACAATCCAGTGATCAACGTCATGAGCATCGACCTAAGCAATTGGAATGCAATGACATGTGTCAACGACATCAGCCTGACCACCCGATCCATGGGTTGATGAAGACCAATTCCAACCCAGATCTTCACGGGTCTATTCACATAGGTAAGGAAAGGGGAACATTATTAAAGTGTGACTGGGGAAGCAAACCATTGTCAGTGCCGCGTAAGGAAAGGGTAACATTATCAAAGTCTGTTAGATAAAGACATTTTTGGCATATGATAGGGAAGATAAAACATCTGAATCAGGAAGGGAACAACATCACTGGCAGGAGGGAGGGAAAACATCAGCCCAATCAGTGGGGTCTCTTTGAGAGGCATTCTTAGAAGTTGGAGAGACAGATAAGGACAAACTTTATGGATGAACAACTTCTTTATTCCACATCAAATGACACCCGACCCCCTGATCAATAGAGATCAAGATTATTTCATCCACGCCTGCATACGATGAACTCATCAATCAACCCCAACTGCTTGTGTAAACATGTTCAGCTTCTGCTCTGTACATCCCACTGGCTTCTAGATGTAATCCCTTGTCATCACATCACTGTACTTCTCAATTATCTTCTTCTTGTTCTTGTTCATTATTTACTGCATATATCAGGAGTGGAAATAACCCATTGCCCAACGCACGAGTCCAGTGTTTTTTTCTGTTGGGCAAGCAAATTTGTATATCACACTGTACCGGTGTCCAGTTGACTTTCCAATATCAATTATGTTGTTTATTTAAAAAATCAACAAGAAAATGGCCGGTATAGTGGAAAAATTATCAGGGCAAGTGATTTTACATGTGCCACTGTACCGGAGTACACTAGCAATTTTAAATTTATTTCCACCCCTGATATATAACTCTGTTTTCTACCTGATTCATACCTGCTTGACAACAATATAAGAATCTGTATCGGAACGTCGCATCACCTGAATAAAATTGTTCATCCATAAATTTTGTCCTTATCTAACTAAGGGGGGGATATCCATCATTGTCGGTGAGGAGAAAACATCTGTGTCGGTAACCTACCCATCCTCGCCATCAAGGCCTAGTTGTGCACAAGCCTTGGTGGACAGCAGTCTTGGGTGGTCACAGATCTTCTTCAGGACGGTCAGCGCCCCACCAGAGGAGACTTACTGGTCATAAGCAGCTGTCAATCAAACATATAGCTGTCACTATATGAAACTGGTCACACAGGTTGAGTTTGCAACATTTTATAGTTAACACTTTAGCTGTAGCTCCATCAGGCAAAATTTATATTGCTACAATATACAGTCAATTCTCGTTAACCCGACATCGTCTGTTGCACAGCAAATTATCGGATTAACACGGATGACACGTGGCAGTGTATTTACGGGTAACTGATCACACACGTTGCTAATCTCTATGTCGGATTAACAGGACTAATTACTAAGTGATTACGACAGCCGGTTGTAATTGGAGATGTCAGAGTCGGAAAACAAGTCCTAATTATGTTTATTTAATTTGTAAGCAACAAAAGCGTCGGATAAACGGGAGTCGGATTAACGAGACTTGCCAATACTCTACATTCTGGTAAGTTATTTTTTTAATGCACACCTACAGGGATAGACAGCTAGCTTTTTGAGATCTTCAAAAAAAGTAATGGAACAAACTATCCATTGTGACAAAATTATGGAAATGAGACCCATCAGCGACTGTTTGTTGTTTAATGCTGCACTAAGGTTGTATTCAAGCTACGTGGTGACAGTCTGTCATAGAGTCTGAATGAGTGAGTATGGTTTTGAGCCGCTTTTAGCAGCATTCCAGCAATATTATGGCCGGGGACACCAGAAATGGGCTTCAACATTGTAACCATGGTAATAGAGCCAGTGATTAACATCATGAGCATCAACCTATGGAACTGGGATACGATGACATGTGTCAACCAAGTCAGCGAGCTTGACTACCCGATCCTGTTAGTCGCCTTTTGTGACAAGCATGCTTTACTGAAGACCAATTCTAACCCGGATCTTCATGTACTAAGTGCAAAGAGCTGTTTAAATTACTTTCACTGTTTCAGTACACACATTAACTCTTACAAATTCCAGTTCCCTAAATGTCATGGCTATCCATGTCAGATTTTCAGGAGACAGAATTGCATGGCCCCAAGAGGCTCAATACTGCTAACTTTAATGTGGCCCAATCTCACCTCTTTAACACTGTCCAAAGCCAGGAAATCTTCATAAATCTTCAACTGAGTTTGTGTAAGGAAAACCCACACCACCAAATCATTCTTCCTCCCAAGTGATGGCATTCTGAAAGAAAACAAGCTTTTCTAATGCTCCACACTTTAAAAAAAAAGAAAGAAAGAAATTATTTTTATGACTACTATACATTTTATGCCTGATATCAAAATCACCTAATAATCCACATCAAACCTTATAGTGATAAACAAAATCTGCACAATGGCTTTATTAGGTTTGACTGTTTGCATCTCTTCCACTGTAGAAGTACATAAACCAAAAATGAACCAGTCTGGTCCAAAGAGCAAACCATTTAATTAATTTTTACTCGGATTCAATGCTTGCGTACATATTAGAATTTGACAAATCCACCATTGAAGCTTGTAGCAATTAATTTTGCAGAGCTCCAGATAAGATTTAGCTCATGTGGGTACTGTACCCACTGTATTTTTTTGGAGTGGGTATTATGAATGTTGAGTGGGTATTTCATTTTCCGTTACCCACTGCTTTCAATATGTGCGTATTTCAGTCATTTTACTCACCTAAGTATATGTCTTTGAGTAAGTTTACTAAGCAGGTATGTCCTGCCTTATGTCATACCTAATCAAAACCAACTTTAATATAATGGAAATGATAAAAAATCACTCATCCTATACTGACAGTACAACACTTGTCCTATACTAACAGTACAACTTGATAGCAATCGATGTCTTTTTCATTACGCAAGCGATTTTTATAAATATATTCCATACGCATTTGTTTTAAACTTTTTGCGTATCTAACATTTTAAATGCGTAATTGGTACGCAACAATTATTTTTTCACTGCATAATTGGAAATTTTCTATGCATATTTTGACGGATATGCAGCTTATCTGGGCCTCAGAGACTGTGCCTTTGGATGTGGCATGTTGTAGTCAGGGAACAGAAACAGTGTTGAAGTGTTTTGTGTTTATCTTTAGTTTAAAACAATACAGTTTAAAGCCAAAGACAAATGACACTCCGTCTTCCTGAATTAGGTGAAAACCTGGCTTACAACCAAACAAGAACAATTACATTTATTGTTAGTAATTGTTAGTAAACTTACCTCTGGATTATGGTTGCCTGATTCTGTGGTTTCCACAGACACATACAGAATGAAGTGAAAATTTTAACAAGTCATAGCTATACCTAGTGGTATGCGCGTCCAACTGACAGAGTTACCTCCCCCTGACCTAGACGTCACTGTATAGTAGTTTGAAAATCCTCAAATTTTTTATGAAAAAAACAGTTAAAGTCACTTATCTTCTAGAGGAAAGGTGGGGAGGAAGGGCGGGACCTATACCCCATCATCCAGAGGTAAGTTTACTAACAATTACTAACAATAAATGTAACTGTTTCTAATTAAGGCGTAAACATTCCCTCTGGATTATGGTTGCCTGAATCCCACATACGGATGGAGGGCTATCCCTAGAAGAATAGGGTCTTTAAGCATACCACTGGTTAGTTATTCTCCATGGTCAAACCTCTCTAAGGATAACTATGACTTAGTAGTAAATAATTCACTGGTGAACTATAAGATTGGATCATTGTCTGCTGGAAGATCCAAATATTGAGTAGTCTCTATTTATCAACCGAATTATAGTTATCTACTCTTAAGATGAATTAATATTGATAATTTCCAATTGACGACCTTCTCTGATTCTGTCGTCTCACGACGTCACTCCTGGTTCTATGACGTCACTTCCGATCTAATGACCTCTACTTTTTGCCATTGTGACACCACTTCCGGATTATGTCATTTCATGACGTCACTTCCTGTTTATGATGTCATTTCCGGTTTATGACGTCACTTCCTGTCTATGACATCACTTCCGGTTTAATTGTCATTACTCGTCTATGATGTCACTTCTGGTCTATGACGTCACTTCCGGTTGATTCCCAAAATTCTTAAGAGTAATTCCGTAATAATTTAGAGACTACTCCCCTTAAATACTCAACCACCACCTGAGTTCGGTTAGTATCTATAATAGGGATAATCGTAAATGTGACCTACCTGATAAATACTTCTGTCTCTTTATCTTCTCTCCATAATCGGAGAATGCAAGTGTAAACATGCTTGACACATGATCCAATTTCTGATACTACTACACCCCCAACCCCCAAAGGTACTAGGCGGAGGAGAGGTGTTGTGCCGCTACTAACGGACCCAGGGACTTAAGTCCCTCCATTGAAGAGGCTACATCTCTTAAATAAAATTTTCTAAATGTATTTAAGGACTTCAATTGACAACTAGCCGCCACTCGTTCAACTGAAACTGAACCCCATGCCGCTACTGATGATGCTAATGCCCTTATCTCATGTGGTGAGAACCTAACAATAACTGATTCTTGATCCAAGTCTCGGTAATCATAGGCGATTGTCTTCCTGAGCCATGAAGAAATTGTATTCTTAGATAAGTCCGTATTAACATTTGTTTTACATAAGAGAAAGAGATGACGACAATTCCGTCTAAGCTGGATGTGCGCTGTATATACCATCTGAGAGCTTGGATCGGGCAAAGTAGTCTTGATCTGTCAGATCTAGAGCCAGGGGCAGGAAGAGCTGGTATTCTGTAGACTCTGTGTCCTACCAGTCCATCAGACGTCAACTGGTTCTTGGCTGTAAATTCAGGCACCGTAATACAAGTCATCATCTTATACCTTTCCGAGAATGCATTAGATTTCAAGTCAATAGCGTGCAGTACTGACACTCTTGAAGCCATAGCAAAGGCCAGTAGAAAAGCAGTCTTAAAACTCAAGTATTTTAAAGGAAGTGTCTTGCATAGGTTCAAACGGAGACTTCTGTAGAGCCTGTAGCACCAAACATAGATCCCACTTAGGAAATAATGACGGCGATGACACATCCTTGATCTTGAAAGATCTAATAATCCTGTGTAAAGAATGATCAGATCCTACAGATAGTCCCTGCAAGTCCATGACTGAAGCAATCGCTGATCTATAACCTTCAATAGTATTGTGGTTTAATTTTTTAACCATCCTGAGATACATAAGAAAGTCAGCTATGATAGGTATGGTGACTGGAATATTGAGTAGTCGCTGCTCTCTTCTCCACTGGATGAAGACATTTCACTTAGTGTCATACAGTGCTGCCGTTGAAGGTCTGATAGACTCGGAGATAGCTGAAATTGCTAGTTTATTAAATCCCTGTTTCTTGAGGGAACTATAGATAGTCTCCACACGTGAAGAGCTAGTAGGTTTACATTCTTGTTATCTGTCTGACTTGGGCTGACTGAGAAGAATGTCCCAACAAGGCAGTCGTAAGGGTTTGTCCGTCAACAACTGAAGAAGGTCAGTGAACCATGTCCTGGTCGGCCATGCTGGAGCTACCAGATAGACTACGCAGTTGTGTTGAGCGATCTTGGCTAGTACTTCCGGTATCAATTTGAATGGAGGAAAGGCATAAGCTATCAGATTTTCCCACGCTTATTGACAGGGCGTCCACTGCCCAGGCTGTCGGATCCGGAACAGGACTCACAAATGTAGGTAGACGATTCTTCCTTGATGTCGCGAAGAGATCTATGGATGGAGTTTCCCATTTCTCCGTGATGAGTTTGAAAGCCTCCATATTCAAAGTCCATTCTATTGATATCACTCTGTCCTGTCTGGGGAGGGAGTCTGCCAAAATATTCACCTTTCCCGGAATGTGACAAGCTTTTATAAGACTTTTCATGGCATCTGCTACTTTGAATTGTTCCTTCATAATCTGTAGTAGACGATGAGATTTGGTTCCGCCCTGTTTGTTTATATAGGCTGCTACTGTGCTGTTGTCTGTCACTAACATAATGTTCTTCTGATGCAGGCTCCAAGACCAATGAGAACGAGCTTTTACCAGCGCTAGCATCTCTAGACAGTTGATATGGAGATTGCTTTCCTGTTGAGACCACAGACCCTGAACTTGCTGTTCGTTGACATGAGCGCCCCAACCCGAGTTTGAGGTGTCCGCATACAGAGTGACCTCTTGAGGAGGAAGACGAAAATGTACTCCTGGAAGCATGTTGCTGTCCACCACAAAAATTCCTGACGAACCATGAAGAGAGGAGATACCATAGTTTCTAAGTCCAGATCCCGGAACCCATTGATCCATATTTACGGTTCGCGAAGATGAATCCTGCCCCTCATCGTGAAATCCTGGATGGATGTAAGAGATCCCAGTAGAGACATCCATGTCCGAATAAATACGGTCTTGCTTGCTAACAGATGGAAAATCTTGGTCCAGATCTTGTACAAACGATCCCGAGGTGAAATATTCGGGAAGTCTTGGCATCCAGGATGGCTCCCAGATACTTGATCTTTGATGTGGGAACTAGTTCTGACGTGACAGGATGTACAATAAGGCCTAGTAATTATAGTCTGAGTAATTATATTTCTTGCCAGGAAATCGTCCAAGTACCCGTGGATAGATATCTGACGATGATGTAGGAATGCTAGTATGGGACTGATGATCACAGTAAAAAGCCAGGGAGCTAGGGAAATTCCGAAAGGTAGAACACGAAACTGAAACCTCCGTCCGTTTACCGCAAAACAAAGGTACTTCTGTGAACGAAGATGTATTGGTACATGAAGATAAGCATCCTTCAGGTCTATGCTGATGAAATTTGAATTTTGTTGAATAAGTGTTCTCAAATTGGCTAGGGATTCCATCTTGAATTTGGGAGGTTTCTTTAAACATTCCTTGTTTAACACTTTCAAGTCTATAATCATCCTCATCTCCTCCGTGTCTTTCTTGGGAACTAGAAATACCGGGGAGTAGAACCCGCATGACTGGTCTGATGGCGTAATCTCCACTATGGCCCGCTTGTCTAACAGTTGTTGAATGGCCGTTACTGCTCCCGCTAGACGATCCCCTTGCAGGAAAAAACGTTTCCCTACCGGCTGGTAGGTTACTGGAGGTAGGATAGCTTGGGAACCCTTTCCGGCGGCAGACATCCCGACGATCCCAGTTCCACTGGTAACTCCCATTCCGGCTCCTCAGACTGTGGCGGGACCGTGCTAGGATAAAGTCCATGGATTAAGTCCACCTTTTCCCTAAGAGACCATCCAGGAACAAAATCTTCGGCCGAAGTATCCATAGGCTGGACTGTCCGATAAATAGAAGTAGCTTCCGATTCCGAGAGGTCTGGTACAAGCGGTAAAATCGGTGGCTTATCAGTGTCAAAATGATCCATGGCTCCCGTGGAAATCCCGCTTGGCACATGGCTACTGGACTGCTGGTCCTGGATACCGCTTCCCCCTGTGGCAGCCGTGGCTCGTTGATTAAACCCAAGGTGGGAGACGCAAGCCGAGGGCATGGAGTCAGTCCCGCTAGGATATGTCTGCAGCAGATTCCCCGCGTGGGATAAGGTAGCAGGCTTTGAGAGACTGGGATCAAGCGTGACCGCCTTACTCCCAGTGACAAGGGACACGGCTTGTTTTGCCTGGACCGCAATTTTAAAAAGCCTGCCTGGGGTCAGCCAGGTTGACCCCATCCCCGTCACCTGAAGCCCCTGGCTTCTCCCCCTGTGGGGAACGGCCTTCTGATCCAGTCGTAAGGTGATACCTGGCTTTCCCAGGTAGAGCACCCTCGAGTTTCACAGAAACTGACTCTTGCCCCGGCTCTTGCCATCATTAATCCAGTCAGTGCGACCACCGGTCGTCTTGCCGTACATAATGCCATCATGAAACAGTTTTTGTAATGAATTCATCTTGGCCTCATTCCTCACCTCCATATCATACATAGACTGACTAACTGAGGCCTGCAACTCTGATTTAAACGATGCAAATAAATCCGAGATTGCAGAAATGTCCAAATAAGATGCATCCGACTTAGATCTAGATCTAGCTTTGATTTTGATTATGAAGTAGATTTTTTAATTTTGCTAGCCTCCGACGACAGGGAGCTGTTACGTTTCCTTGTCTGAGATCTTGCAGATTCCATATTTAACCACTCAACTTCTGATAATTCTGAACACAAAAGGCAGCGATCTTGCAAAGTACAAGGATTACCAGTAAAACAAGAAATGCAGAGAGAATGGGGGTCTAAATCCGACATAAACTTTTGACATTGCACGCACTTACTCTTAGCCATAGCTAAAGTTAGACACAGGAAAAAAGGGCGGGAAAATATATAACAAGTACAGACGTAATAATAATATCAAATTCGATGTCCAACGGACTAATGTCGACAACACTAACCTAAATGGGGATGGATCAGTAGAAATCAAGCTGATAGAAGTCAAATTCTCACTCCACTCGTGTACACGTGTACAGAGTATACCATACAGAAAATTGGTGAGGATTTTCAAACTACAATACAGTGACGTCTAGGTCAGGGGGAGGTAACTGTCAGTTGGAAGGGCATACCACTTCCATATATGCAACCACTATCCCATCCATCCATCCTCCGATCCCTATATCCAACCAATCTCCCATCCATCCATCCTCCCGTCCATCCATCCCTATATCCAACCAATCTCCCATCCATCCATCCTCCCGTCCATCCATCCCTATATCCAACCAATCTCCCATCCATCCATCCTCCCGTCCATCCATCCCTATATCCAACCAATCTCCCATCCATCCATCCTCCCGTCCATCCATCCATATATCCAACCACTCTCAAATCAATCCATATATCCAACCACTTACCCATCCATCCATTCATCAATCTACCATGAGATAACCAGCAATCTTGCAACTATTCACACTATCCCTAAATGAAGCATAAAAGCCCCTACTTAGTGAGCTCTTTCTTTCCATCTTCAGCTTTCTGTTCTCCTTGGTTCTTCTTGTCTGTCACTTCAGCCTTGGTTCTCCGAAGGAAGTACGGCTCTATGATCTTCTTCAAACTCTCCGCCATCTCCTGCCCAAGTCGTCTCTCACCAGCTGTGGCATCACGCTCTCGAGACTGGAACATCATTCACTGTGTTCAGCGACTGACAGCAATCTTCACTCACAAGCTAACTGGCACATTGGATACAGCTTTATTTGGATTTGACCACAGACATAAACAACTAATTTTCACCTTCAATAAGGTCATATTTGGCTCAGAGTTTGCAGCAAATGGCTGAAAAAACTTCCTGCTAGAATAAATATTTTGTTCTAATTTCTCAGAATTGATTAATATTAGAATGTTAAAAATATCCAGTTTTGGACAATTTAAACACCAGCTTTCCCAGTGAGTTACAGTAGAAGTGTAACTATACGATGAAACATATCCCTATAACACTAGGGTGTTATGATTAGTATCCTGATACAATACTTACATTTTGAATTTTTAAGTTCATATTGTTTCCTTTTCTGCTAAAAATGCAGATTCAGGTGACTTCTAATTTACATCTGTTCACTAGCTGTCTAAAGCGTTTCATGAGTTGCATATATAAGCTGGCGACAGTGATATTCATGTATATGTAATAATGGGTAAGACAACTTTAGCGACATGTTTCACATTTTCATTTCACCTCACTGGATGGGTTAGAATTGATCTTCATAACCATTGCTTGTCATAAGAGGCGACTAACGGGATCGGGTGGTCAGGCTCGTTGACTTGGTGGACACTATAAGTTATCACATCGTGTCGAGGGAAATACAGGGTTTTATCAGTCCTGAGTAAGGTTGTATTCAGAAATACAACCTTACTTGGGACTCACAAAACCCAGTATTTCCTTCGAGACGATATGATAACGCATTTTTCCAGCCGAATGCTTTTACTAAATCAAAAGAAAACAATACGCATCAATTTCATTCTCAGTTGTTGTGGCAAAACGTTTCCTTGCTGCCATGTTGACACCAGCTGATCGATTGACCTCAATGCAGCGCACGTTACTAAAGGCTTGGCGATGCACGCTTTTCTCACTTCGCGTGGTCACCGAGGCGTGGCGGGATAATATGACTTTTGTACTCCATGCTCGCATATCGTGATGGGTGTACATGGTATTTTTCAGAATCATGTGAACCAATCAAAACTCGACATTCTTACATGAGGCTGGATAAATGTCATTGTATCCCAATTGTGTAGATCGATGCTCATGCTGTTGATCACTGGATTCGATTATTTACACACCGCTGCCATATAGCTGGAATATTGCTAAGTGCGGTGTTGCACAAACCATTATAACATGAGTGAGAGTTTACGCAGCTTTTAGCAACATTCCAGCAGTATCACAGCACGGGACACCAAAAATGGGCTTTACACAACATACTCATGTGGGGAATTAAACCCGGGTCTTCAGTGTGACATGCGGACACGTTAACCATTAGGTTACCCCGCCACGCCCAAACATCATAACGATTCTTTGTGATTAAAGATAACAGAAAGAGTGCAACTATGTAATATTTGTAAGAATCCTTGCTAGTGAGGATGACTGAGGAAGGTCCTGTGCACTTTTGACCAAAACTGTGGGAAGTACTGGAATTTTCAGTCACCAATTCTATTATTTTTTTTACGAGCTAAAATCTTTCATTCAGACTGACGACAAAATGTAAATTTATATATTTTTGTTTGTGCAGAGATGACATTATCTCAAGCATGGTACGTCAATGGGCTATCTCTATCAGTAAACCATATCAAACTTTGTATCATATATATGTATATCTTTTTCACATCCTATGACATTTTGGTCCAGTATTTTCTGGAACAAGTCCCCCCCCAAATATATCACAGTCCATCCCCAAATCAACAGATGGCTTTTCATAAGTGGACCAACACAATGAATGCAAAGACAAAGGAACTCCTCAAATTTATAAAAGGTGTGAGAGTGAGTGAGTTAAAAATTTAAGTCACATTGACATGATTTCAGCCATATTGTGACTACATCAAGTTATATATTTATAATAATTATAGGTAAATTATAAAAGCCTGTCAGTGAAGGACAGTAAAACAACTAGTTTATCACAGATGTAAATTTAAAAACTAGTAATCAAACTTAAAACATTTTAACTATACAAGACGATACAATATCAAACCAGGCTATAGACTGTCAACAACTGAAGGTAGATCGCTATATTAGGAATCATGCAGACTTACATTCAGGGGTGGAAATAATCCAGACGCCCCAGTCCAGTGTATTTTTCCATCTGGCAAGCAAATTTGTATAACACACTGTACTGGTGTCCAGTTGACTTTCCAATGTTAATTATGTTGTTTATTTAAAAAATCAACAAGAAAATCGGCCAGTATAGTGGAAAAGTTATCCGGGCAAGTGATTTTACATGTGCCACTGTACCGGAGTTCAGGAACAATTTTAAAGTTATTTCCACCCCTGATATTACTTTTGCTACCTGCCTGGACCCTAGCTGGATTTACACCATCCCTTCAGCCATTGGCGTTTATGCTGAGATTTAGCCATACATTAAAAAGACTATGATTAAAAAACCTGTTAGACTTAAATTTACTTGAAATGTTTTGGGACTTACTAAAAGGTGTGCATGTTTGTTGTTAAATGCCTCACCCACCTATATTCCATCTATGAGATGTGGCCTGTGAACAATCAAGCCTGGACCAGACAATCCAGTGTTTCATGTTTGTTGTTAAATGCCTCACCCACCTATATTCCATCTATGAGATGTGGCCTGTGAACAATCAAGCCTGGACCAGACAATCCAGTCTTTCATGTTATTAGCAACAATCCATGTCCCTGGGGTAAGTTGACACACATCTGACCATGGAGTCTGACCACCCTGTGACTTTAGTGGCCTCTTACGACTAGCAAGGGTTGCAAGGGACCAGTTCTTTCCAGGATTCTTCAGGGGTGATTAAATAGAGGATATTTTTTTATGAGTGCCCATGTCATACTATGTTTACGACACAAGTGCCAAAGTGCCAAAGTGATATTTTGCCCTAGCGCATCGTATGAACAATATGAAACCCAATATTTTTGTAATAAAGGTAAATATGCTCTCAATTTCTTACCCGTATAATGGGGTTCTCATACTCCATTTTGAATGTCCTGGATGTTCCCAGCAGCTGTCCTTGGTGCACAAAGTCAAACAATGCCCACAGCTCCTGAACAAATACAACATTATTATAATGCAGCAATTGAGGGGAACAATCGCCCCTTACACCTTCAACAGACTTTTGATTTCTTCAAATCTCACTAGAGAGAGAGACACCAGAAATGGGCTTCACACATTGTACCCTTATTCGTCATAACAAACCATATCTATAATTATTATTATTATTATAATCTATTTATATAGCGCCGAGTTCCAGCTAGGCTGCTCACAGGCGCTTTGTTTTTCCCTCGATCATAGGATGTCAGTCTCAATGGCACTTTGTATTATCTCAACTCCCTGGGGAGTATACAACTCTTGCAGCCACTAGGCGCACCGAGTAAATGTGGCTTTCCCTTCCTTACGAGGTACCCATTCACAGCTGGGTGGACTGGGACACATAGTCACAGTACTTTGTCTAAGTTTACTGCATGTTGCTGTACCCGCAACTAGGTGTTTGCACGTATTCATGTGGCTACCATCTGGTCATATACCAACGAAACGGATTCGTGGGTTCTTTTAAGTGCACAGGGTTGTGTACTGTACACTAGGGGTTGTGACAACACAAAGAGTTTGCACACAAAGTTGGCATCTCTGCTCTAATCACTCACTCACCCGGAGGTTGTTCTGGACCGGCGTGCCAGTCAGGATGATTCTGTTCCTGGCTGGGATAGCATGAACTCCTTTCGTTGTCTTTGTGGGATTCTTGATCTTGTGACCCTCGTCCAGAATCACATAGTCCTGAAATAGTCAAATACACTTTTTTTAGGTATGTTACGTGGGAGGCATTTTATTATCCCTCTGACAAATTACACGACTTTTGATTGGCTAATAGCCAGTCCATATAAGACCATACTCTAAAGGATTTCACAGTTTCACAGGTAGTATGAATCCATCTTACCCCGTTCCAACAGGCAGTTGGACTGTTTGTGAACTTGAACCTTGAAACCCAAATCACATAGAGAATTCAACTACGGTTACTGGCGTTATTGTTATAAAATGAGTGATTGAGTTTAGTCTTTTACCACTTTGAGCAATATTCCAGCAATACCACAGCACGGGATACCAGAAATGGCCTTCACACATTGTACTCCATTCTCTTCCCACAGAAGTTACTCCTGTCATATCTTCCTACATAACCTCTGTTCTAATATGTCCGTTTCAAGGTGCGAGTGTTCTGAATTTGTGGTTGGTTGCAATCAGATTTAGTTGTGCAATCAGCAACGTTTCAAATGTGATCCTTCGCAAGGCCTCGTTGATTTCCGTATGCCTCGGGAAAACTAGAACCTCTTCCCCTGCGCTATGCGCATAGATTTCCTTTAGACAGAACTCAGTCATGTAATGGCGGATTTATGGCGTTTCCATCGCCCTCGTTGACAACGGACACGCTAGCCATTAAATGTCTCGTGTGTCATATCAACAAAAACTCTGGTCGGTCGATTCCTGCTCTCTATATTGCCTGTTTCTGATTTTCAGTTAAAAATGAAATACCGAATCTATCCTTCGAATGTTAATCACCTAACTCCATGGTGGCCGCCACATTGGATCTAAGTCGATGTAACACGTGTTCTGATTGGACAGAAAGAAGGGAGATAATTTGTATTGCGATTTTTTGCCTCTTGGGGATTTTACGAGAACTGGGAAATGTGGCCATATTAGAACAGAGGTTATGCAGGAAAATATGCCAGGAGTAACTTCTGTGGGATGAGAATGATTGTACCCATGTGGGGAAGGAAACCTGGGTCTTCGGCATGATGAGCAAACACATTAACCACTAGGCTACCCCACTGTGTTATAAAAGAACAACAAGAATTAATCACAAGATACCTAACTCAAAAACTGAGCTCACCCAGGCAAATTCTGATCCATCTTTCTGAGTGAGTGAGTTCAGTTTTACGCTGCTTTTAATAGCAATATTCCACAATACCACAGCAGGGGACACCAGAAATGGACTTCACACAATGTAAACTGAACTCACCCAGACAAATTCTGATTTATCTCTCTGAGAGAGCTGTTCCGAGCTGGTGACGACGAGACCGTAGGATGTGAGGCAGACACCGCTACGCCGCTGCACCTTGGCCAGAGCTCGCTCCTTCTCCCGCTTGCTGGTGCCGTGATACAGAGTCACACGGATACCTGGAGCCCTAGGGGAAAACAGTCAACAGTGTACACAGGGAAAGAGGCTGTCACTACTCGTCTGTACGGCTGCGCAATATAACCGGTTTACTGGCATTTACCGGTTCAGACATGAAAACGATACATATTTCGATACACTGATAAAAAAACATGGTATTTTGACGTGCATTAGGAAAACTTCGTAACACTCAGAAATCTTCGGATATTTCCGTTTTTCACAGGAAGTCATGCGCTTGTTGTAAAATGGCGACCCCTAACAACAAACAATTTATTGTGGCGCAAGGGCAAAGGCTTCAGAATGGTAGCATTTTGGGTTGAAAAAGTTAACGGTAGATGGAACTATTGATAAGAGTAACAAAGTATGTAATTTTCTGACTAAAATTGATATTTTATACTTATCCTGACTCATGCTAAATGCTTGTCTCCTTCTTCCTGCGAATGATAGCGGAACACTTGAAATCCCTTGAAGTTTCCTTCTAAAAAGCGGACGTATAATCATCACTCACCAACGAGTAGTCTCCCTTGCCTCCTGTGGCACCCTTTTTGGTCACATGACCAGCCATGTTTGTCACTCTCTCCGTATGTACAGGGAAATCTAGAGTGCCATAAGAGGGGAGGTTGTATAAAATATCAATTTTAGTCAGAAAATTACATATTTTTCCTTATCCTGACTCATGCTAAATGCTTGCAGAATCCGTCGGAATCGGTGGTGGGTCAGGCCACTTCTGGATTCTCTGGCTGTTGATTTACGTCCTGTATTACCCCCCATGGGAACTTATGACGGCACTGCTGATGATTCTGTTCTTTCAACTTCCTCTGATGAGTCTTGGGGGGAAGGAGGGGAGGGAAAAAAGACCACAACTTGTCAGATTTCTTCCGAAACTTCTCCTGACATTTTTGTGTGGATTTTTAGATATACTAATGTTCCATTAGTTATCTATTGAAACTCCATCAAGTCCGTTTGAGTCAGAAACGGACCGATGAATTGCAAATTTTATCATTGTACAAAATTGCCACAGAAATATAAATAGTACACATGTTCATCATTTACTAATACCCAACAGCTTTCTGATATTTAAAAATTTTCCGGACTCCACCAAAAAAGTTGTTTAAGAATTGAAAACGCAAAAGTTGTTATCTGTTGCGTCGGGGTGAAACTGCAGAAACAGAACAGCCAGTCATGGCGGGGGACATCTCAAAATCTATTCCGGGAGACCTGTCAGTTCCTCGTCTGTCGTAGTGTCATAGTCACGACTTACAGGGATGACAAGTGGTGCCACAGTTGCCTGTTGTAAGCCACCCCGAGACCAGTAACCTTGTTCAATGACGTTAGCTACCTTGTTGACACAGTTTTGCCAAGTTTCAGTCGTGATTTTGTTAAGGGATTCCTTAACCAAAACCTCTATGTCACGTAATCTAAAAGTTGTGTTTGATCTGGCAACATCTCCTTTGACAATACCCCATATCATTTCAATGGGGTTAAGGTCACAGTGATAGGGTGGAAGTCGCAAAATATCGTGACCCTTATCGTGACCCTTTTATGTAACTGTCAACTTTGTAGAAAGGTTCACCTTTGTGGGTTTTTATGATCTCATATAGCTGAGGCTTCGTTGCCTTTGAAGGCCGTGCGATCTGAAATTTCATATCACCTTTTCGACTGTTCGATGTCGGGGCTTTACTGTCGGGGTCCTGCACGCTGTGGTATGGGGCATTGTCCATTACGATAAAAGACTTCTCTGGTAGAGCTGGTACCAACTTGTTTTAAACCCAATCGAGGAAAACCGCACCATTCATCTCGGAATGGTAGTCTCTGTTATCTGTTGACTTTGCCGTGAATACCAAGTTGCAGCCTGGGAGAAAGCCTTTGCTGGAGCAACCAGCATGGAGAATGATTAGTCTCTCTCCTTTCCCTAGAAACAGCTTTCTACGTGACCCCTTATCACCCCCATCGGGTACCCACTGACTGCTGGCAGTGTAATGCAGGCACTGACCCAGGTCTCGTCCAAGTACACTGGCTCGAACCCTTCCTCGCGCTTCTTCTTTATAACCCTGAGAAAATTATTTCTCAAGCAAACGATATCAGGGCGTTCACAGAGTACTGACCTATTCTCCCCGAAATATTCTTATAACGATACCTGAAAGAGTGTAAGAGTCGCCAGAGTGTGTACTTTGGTACTCTGAGGTTGTGTTCTTGCTTCAAATGCTTTTTTAAAATTTTCAGCGACATGTATTTGTTTTCAGAATAGAGCTTGTTCATAGACTGCCTTACAAGGTTCTTTTGCTGCCCCCTTACGGAATTTATTAATGGCATAAAATGGTTTGCCCCTTTCGGCTTCAGCATGGAAAAAATCGTACACTTTAATCATCAACTGTTTCACTTTAGCATTCAACTTCATTTTTCATCAGGCATGTGTATCCCGTGCACGACGAGAAAGTGGCTGTTCCGTTTCACCCCGCCGCAACAGATAACAACTTTTGCATTTTCAATGATGATAGTTTCTTAAACAACTTTTTTTGGTGGAGTCCGGAAAATTTTCAAATATAAGAAAGCTGTTGGGTATTATTAGTAAATGATAAACATGTGTACTATTTATATTTCTGTGGCAATTTCGTACAATGATAAAATTTGCAATTCATTGGTCCGTTTCTGACTCAAACGGACTGTAGTCTGTCCTAGACATGTGCATGGACTTTAACCATTTGCTCTCCAGAGCGTTGGTTTTCACAAGTCAGCGCCTTTGTGGAACCGTTAGTTGTGCTACAACAAGTGGCCCAAACTGGTAAATGCCTGAGACGTCTTCGGTGGCAATGTCTCTGAGGTAGTGGTTGGCAAACACCGTGTCCGATTTCCAAAAGCAGCTCTCCATTATTGTTGTAATCGAGTAGTTTCCATGCAGAGCAAGTGTAGATGCCAGGGCTCTGACTTCGTGGGGATTGGAGTCTTGTGGAGGCTCAAGTGCTGCTGCTTTGTAGGCCCATAGTATAACGGCTCTCATCCATATCGATATCGTTGTCCGTTAGACTTCCGTGGGCGTCTCAGTGGATAAGGGGATGAATAGGCGCTTGAATTTTCGTCTCCTTGTTTTTGTCCTTTGTAGTCCTTTTTGACTTTTAGTGCTCTGACAGGGCATAAGGATAGATCCTGTGTATCCTGTGGCCCAAGGACTGTAGAGAGTGCTGGGATGTGGAACTGTCTGTCAGGCTGGCCCGGGCAGTTGGTTCTTGGCAATAAAATCCCATCTCAGTCCTAAATGTACGATGTCACGATGTCTTGATTTAAATCGTGTTCATTCAAAGTCCAGAGCATGTATTTCTGACATCCGTGCTGCTGTTGCTAGGGCGATCAGGAACAGCGTTTTCTGCGTCAGTATTTGAAAGGATGTCCATTCTAAAGGCTCATAAGCATCACTGGTGAGATGTTGTAAAACTACGTTGGGATCCCAGGCAGAAGCCTTGAATTTCTTTTGTTGGTCTTCCAACTTGAACGAGCGTAGTAGTGCCAGTATCTCTGGTACTTTGGTCAGCTTGACACTCGTGTTCATGGTGATAACTGTGCTGAGAGCAGCCAGGTACGTTGAGAGTGTTGAACCTTTTAAGTGTCTCGTCTGTCGCAGATGACACAGGTATTCCGCCACTTGAGGATGGGTTGCTTTTACTGCTGTAAAGCCTTTCCTCGTTGCATACTGTTCAAATCTCTGCCACTTGTCGTCGTACAAGTTGCATGTAGAGCTAGTGTCACTACTTTCGCTGCTCTGGCAGAGTACCCTCTAGTCTTCAGGCAACTTTGATACGCTCCACGCGTGTAGCTGGAACAATGCCAGATTCCCATGAGCTCGCTTGGTGTGTGGATGGACGAGCAGGTTCGACTACTCTGGTAGTTTCAGGGTTGGACTTCTGAGTTCTTGTATGAGGACAGGAAACCATACCCTCGCTGGCCAGTAGGGCGCAACCCAATTCAGTTGCAACGTTGTCGTCTGCTTGATTTTCTGTATTACTTGTCGTCTGCTTGATTTTCTGTATTACTTGTGGAAATAGTGGAAATGTGTAAGCGTTTAGTCCTACCCATGAGATGCTTAAAGCATCTGTTGCCCATGCCTGAGGATCCGGAATCGGTGAGAATGTTGGTAGTTGTTTGTTGAACTTTGTTGCAAAAAGGTCTATCAGCGGAGATCCTACTGTCTGTATGACGAACAGGAACGCTTCTGGATGTAACATCCCTTCCGTCAGGGATGGTTGTAGTGGATGAGATAGGGCGTCCGCTATGACATTCTTTGCTCCTGGAATGTGGCATGCCTTCATGTAGATTTTCAGGTCGTCGACGATGCTGAACAGGAGAAAGCTGAGTTTTAGCAGACTTGCTGACCTTGTTGATCCTTGTTTGTTGATGTAGAACGCTACTGTGGAGTTGTCCATGTGGACCATGAGCCTTGCGTTCCTTAGTACGTTGGAACAGTGTTGTAAAGTGTTGATCACTGCTTTCATCTCAAACAGGTTGATGTGCAGAATTTGATCCTGACTCGACCACTTCCCTGCTGCCACTTCATTGTCGAGGTGAGCACCCCATCCTTGTAGTGATGCATCCATGTAGAGATGAGTGTTGCAAGCTGGCTCTGACAAAAAAGGTTCCTCCGCAAACATTCGACTTCTGAGTCCACCATAAAGGTATGGTTTCAGACTGTCCAGTAGTATCAGTGGATCCAAACTGTCGAGATGGGCATTCACAATACTGTAGTGGGCGCAGCTGTAAACTCACTCTGCGAGTCATGTCTTGAGCTGAGGTGAGTAGACCATGCATGCTTTGCCAATCACGTAGTGTCAACGGAGAGAGCATTGCTTGAGATATCATATGTTGTATCTTCACCCAACAATCCTCTGGGACAATCGTGTGATTATGTGGTGTGATGAACCATATTCCCAGAAATTGAAGATCCTGTTTTGGTTCCAACTCCGATTAGGAGATTACTAGCCATCTACTGCAATCATGTCCTACGTTGTAGGTACGAGGATCTAGGAGCCCTTGCCATGTCCGTCATGGAAAAGGAGAGATGATCGATTCTGGAATCATGGCTTGAAGCTTGTCTCAATATTCCGGGTAATATGTAATGAAGATGTTGTCACCAGAATCCGAACAATGTGCAGCGATGATGCATAATACGTCGTCTCTAGATCAGCAAAAATCTATGATGTACTGGGACTGCCATCGATGTGAAGTCTATTTATAGTCGACCGGCTGCCACGATCACAAACCGTCTCACGCTTGTCGCTGCAAGCCCCCAGATAATCAATATTAAATCTGCTGACAGGGGAAGTCCTCTATGACCTGTGAAGATAGTCGAACCACGTTGAAAGAGTTGTTTACAACTGTGGACAACTTCCTGGCACCTGACTGAGACGTCACCGGTGTTGCAGGTAAATGATCCTTGTAGAATCTTGTGCAGTTGTTGATTTCTTCGTCAACACTCAGCATTGTCCGTAACCTCTCTGTTCAGCTTGTGCTGGAGTTACACGAGTGAACACATGTCTTGATGGCTGAGTGGAAGCGCCGGAATCTTTTCCGCGTAGTACCGATGTAAGCAGACTGTTCCCTGTCTGTTGTGACTGTATTCTTCAACTTTATAATCTTTACTGCAGTCGTCATCTTATACAGATGTTCTGTAAAGTTGACCGTAACCGATGTCTCGCTGAGGAACTGCGACAATGCTGCTAACTGTCCCCTTGAAATCTCGTAAGCCCATGTGATGAAAATTCATCTTCAGTGTTTTATCGGATGTTATCTGACATTGTTACTTCAGGTGTGTGTCACTTCCTTCAGCCACGCGTTGATCCAACATAGCCATCATCTAGTTGTAGTGTCCAGTTGCGTTATCTTCTTATCTTCCATCTTGAAGATCTAATACAGGATTCACTGATGATCTTGTAATCTCAAACCCTGATGTATCATGAAGGGCTCTGTATGATGAAGGGGAAATCTGCTATCGTTGAACGGCGGGACATGCTGACTCCCCATGAGTGCCTGTGCCCAGGTTGATGAAGGTCCAAGTTGGAAGATCCGTATCTTCCGTATCTGTAGAATCCTGGAGAACGACTGGATCTACTTCTGTGTTAGAATCCTTCCTGCTGAGACGCTGAAACTGTGTGGAGGCTCCTCCAGGCTTCTAACTGCTTATACTTCTGACAGTAAAGATCTTCGCGAACGTAACCGTTCGTGCAGGCCTTCATCCGAGAGAGCTTGTATAGCTAATATTCCTTCGCGCAGGGCGACTGTCATCGGAGGGGTCTGCTATGCTGAGCTGACGTTAGTAGAGTTCTCCAGACTTCTAACTTCAGACGGTGAAGTTGGACATTTCCCTATCTGAAGATCCATAATGACGCGAGTCTCTGTATGTAGATCTGTATGTAGAGCTGTGTGCAGGTGAACGGTCTCGGTGTGACCGTGTATTCCCCCTTGCAGTCTTGAGACATCTCTCTAAGCCTTCACGAAGGCTGATTGACGTAATCTCCCCCTCTGTGAGATGTGGAGTGCCTGCGTGCATGTTCAAGATGTGAGTCTAAGTCCGACGGTGATGACGATCCATATCTGCAGCGTCTGTAGGGTTCTGGAGAACGCTTCAATCTGCTTCTGTGTGGAGAATCTTAGAGGCTTCTTTCAGGGACGTCTAAGGCTGAGCTGATGTTGGTAGCGTTGTCCAGACTTCTAGCTTCAGTCGTTGAAGATCGTCAGGTGCGTGGCCTTAGCGCAGGCTTTCCCCTTCATCCAGGTGTGTTGGAGAGGCTGCTGAATCTTCACGCAGGCTTGTAGTCGTCGTAGCAGCTTCCTCCTGCATGAAGCGAAGTTCCATCATCGACATCATCTGATCTGTAAACTGTTGCATAAACAGACCCAGGTTGAAGTTCTGCGATGTATGTTGAGACTGCTGCAGGGTTGATGATGCTTTTGAGAACGTTGAGGCCTCTTCTAAGGTACGTTGCACTTGTGAAGAGTTGACGCTGCTGCTATCTTTGGTACCCGATGATAGAAGGTCTTCTGTCAGTGGCTGCGCTGATATAGTTGTCGATGTAGCTGTTGAAGCAGGCTTCGTCTTCTTGTGACTTCAGGTATGATGATGGGGGATCATCATACCCGTCTGCTTCTTCCGGAGGTACAATATCGGCAGTGAAGGATTTCGTCTTCTGCGTAGAGCTGTGAAGAGACTTCTACAAAGTCTTAGGAGCTGTAGACTTCTTCTTCTGCGCTGAAGAAGATCTCGTCTTCTTCGTCTGCTATGAGGAGAGCTCCGTTGATGACGATCTCTACTTAATCGAGAGGAGTTCATCACTGGAACAGCAACCTGCCCTCGTAAAACGCTCGGCAATTCACTGGAATTATGAACCTCGGCAGCAGTAATTAACACACGATTATCAGCGCAATCACTCGATTTACCAGACATGACTTGTGAATACCTTCTTACCCAGTCCATTGCACGTTTATGAAGAGAAAAAAGGTAGTTATTAAATTCAAAAGTAGTTAGTTTCTGACAATGTTTACAGCGAGAGCTGGAAGAACATGTAGTAGTGCAATCAGGACATAATATATGCGGGTCAGCCACAGACAGCCGGTACCTACAACGAATACAAGTTTTCATCAATTGTAAACCAGATAATAAACATGGCAAACAACGTACAAATTAGACATAATATCAAAACATTTGATAATATACAATCCAAAAACCGTATATAGCTGCCATTTAGATGTAATAGGTCCAAAATAGGAAAAGGATATGTGCCGTATAGGGACCCAGGTGTGCTCACACAACCGTCCTCAAGGGCGAAGAAGGAGAGAGTGACAAACATGGCTGGTCATGTGACCAAAAAGGGTGCCAAAGGAGGCAAGGGAGACTACTCGTTGGTGAGTGATGATTATACATCCGCTTTTTAGAAGGGAACTTCAAGGGATTTCAAGTGTTCCACTATCATTCGCAAGAAGAAGGAGACAAGCATTTAGCATGAGTCAGGATAAGGAAAAATATGTAAAATATGCAATGATAAAGTGAAATTCTCAGGCGGGACGACCAAATTAACGTCTCACATGCGAAGGCATCACTCAAAGGTTTTGTTTCAGTCTCCGTCACGACCAACTGAATCTCTGCGGATTCTCCCCATAATTGGAGAGAGCTGGGATTCAAACCCATGATCCTGGGTTTCTGGGATGCCGAGGGACACTACTTTGCACAGCGAATTGTGGTGATTAAGAGGGCAAGACCACTGGTGACCTTAATCCTGACAGACCTCCGCTTGCATCTAGTTGCACATAAATGTCTCAAATGAGTGCTAATCTTTACTAGTGTAACTCTGTTTTGTTTGTTTCTGTGTTGTTTAACGCTGCAAGGAGTAATATTTCAGCTATGTGTAGGTGGTCTGTGAATCATCCAGTCTAGACCAGACAATCCAGTGATGAGCATCATGCACATCATTCTATGCAATATGGATATGATGACATGTGTCAAACCAAATCAGCAAGCCTGACCACACAATCCTGTTAGTAACCTCAGTCTATTACATTCTGATTACTTTATAATGTCAAAATTTATACAGCTGGTGTTTTTTTGTGAGTGAGTGAGTTTAGTTTTATGCCGCACTCAGCAATATTCCAGCTATAAGGCGGCGGTGTGTAAATATTCGAGTCTGGACCAGACAATCCAGTGATCAACAGCATGAGCATCGATCTGCACAATTGGGAACGATGACATGTGTCAACCAAGCCAGCCAGCCTGACCACCCGATTCCGTTAGTCGCCTCTTAAAACAGGCATGGGTTACTGAAGACCAATCCTAACCCGGAACTTCACGGGTCGGTGATTTTTGTATATGTGGAAAGATCGAAAGGCAACATATGGTATAGAATCCTCCACGAGAGAGAGAGGCTGTCAAATGAAAGAGGAGTGTATCGAAATTGCTATTTTCCTAACCAGGAACTGAAGAATGAAAATGAAGCAAGAAGAAGCTTTTAGAGTGAGTGAGTGAGTGGGTAGAGAGGTTTTATTGTTGCACTTTTAATTAACAAACACAACCTCCAACTTAGGGCAACAGTGAGAATTCTAGTGTATTTAGTACATTTATCATTGAAGCATATACAGAGCCATGCAAAAAGTATTCGGACACTTGACATAAGTTCCATACTTACATATTAATTTAGTATAGCATAAATTATTTTCAGGAATTTAATTTTCTTAAGATCCAAGTCAAATTTTGCACATTTATGAGGAATCATCTTACCTACAATCACATAATTTGTTTAATTTTCCGTTGCTTATTTATTGAATGGAAACAATTTAATCAGCACATGTACAGTGCCGTGAACTCCTTTAACATGGCGGCCTATGGGATTGTGCATTGTGGAACCATACGTAAGTTGATAAATGTGATGCCATTAGTTAAATAGTGGTCGGAAAATTGAACTGAAATTATGTGCACAGAGCAGAAATGATTTCAAATTTGCATGTCAAATTTTACAAAGATCCATTCTAAACTCACTTCATGAAAATTATTTATGCTACACTGAAATAACATGTAAGTCTGTAGAAATTATGTGAAGTGTCCGAATATATACGGCATCGGTGTGTATCTTTGTTATCTTTATTTTCATTGGTCACAGAATAACAGCTAACCAGGGATAACCATAACTAGTGAATAAACAACAGCAGGACGTCCATGTTATCCCATAAATATCACACTCACCATTTACTGAACTCCTTCTCCCAGTTGCCGACTACGGACACTGGCATCACGATCAGCACCGACTTGATCTTATCCATGTCAAACATCCCAGACAGGAACCCAATCACCTGGATCGTCTTCCCTAATCTGAAATATTCATTTATTGTGTTTGTTTGTTGTTGTTTAATGCTGCACTCAGCAATATTCCAACTATATAATGGCAGTCTGTTTGTTGATTAATGCCAGACACTGCACCTGACAAATGACAAAATGCTTCAAATGTATTTCTTGGTTTTAATTAGTTACAACTTAGAGGTATACATGTTGACATTTGAAAAAGAGTCTTTTCCAGGTGATGTTGCCACTGGTTGCCATGGAAACATGGCGGAGACGATCAGCTTTCTAGCAATGTATAACATGAACGGGTTCGTCAGTGCTGGGTGGGCGTTGTCATGGGTGAAAGTTCGGGGTTTTCGGGGTTTAATTACAAACATATTTAAATATTATCACACACATGCAGATGTTTGTACCGGTTTATATTAATTAAAATGACTTTTTATCGAAAACGTGTTATATCACGAAGTACATGTGTTAAATATGCAAAAAAAATCAAAATCTCGATTTTGATATATTGAAGCAAAATTGTCAATTTAAGGTGCCTTGTCTGGCCTTAACGCCAATCTCTGCGATTTTATCATACTATAAAGTATTTGGTCCTCTCCTCCCACTCTCCTACCCAGAGTACCATACAGATAGCATGATGGGGCTACAACGATTCGGTTCGATTTATCGAAAATCGAATAAGACACCTTAGTTTCGATTTTTGAAAACCAGTATCACTAATCGATACGATATTTGAATACCTATTCAAATTATTTCCACACAGCCAGAACATAATTTTGACTCCAACTCTAGCAGTTTCAGGTGCTATAATAAGGCGAAACGTGATTGGTTGACAATGAGAATTGTTGTTAGTAGACATCGCCAAGTCGTCGATGGCTTTCACGGTAAATAAAAAAGTCGACTCTGAGAATTTATTGAAATATGATGTTTTTACTTGTATGAAGAATCGAATTAAAAAATGATCCAATCTAACTAAAATCTGTGACAAAATGGTTTCTTCCAGTGAGAAAATATCCTAAAACCTAAGAGAAACTATTTTGATTTTCTTTGTTTTCAATGATTCAACAGCTCCACATGCTGTCATTAAAGCCTTATAAACATAGATTGTCAAACAATTCACTGTCATACAATTCACTGTCACAGTTGTAAAATAATACTGATGTTTGAATTTTAAACATAAATTGTATATTTAGATACTTATCCTATCTCATGTCTAGTACTCTCTCTCTAAATTTGACGAATGAGTGGAAATGAAAAAAGTTTTGAACTTATCTCGGCCTCCGGTTCAAGCACCCGCCCTCCATGTTGTCCTCCTTCCTGGACATCTCGCTGTCTCTCACGAGAGGCATGCGTCACGCGCCACTACCAAGTCACATGACCATTCCTTAGTGATCATTCTCACTCTTGGAGTAATTGTATATCAAGGTAGTGGGGAGGCAAGATGGCCATCCATCGCGTGAGATAGGATAAGTATATAAATATACAATATATGGTTAAAATGTTCAAATTTTTAGACTTATCCCTAGGTATGGTACTTATTCCATGGTAGGACGGCGGGCCGCAGATTACCCTCCACGGAACCCCTTCACATACTAAGCACGATACTGGGAAATGGTAGCATGCAAGTAAAGTGGTTCCTCGCTATTTTAATGTTCGGTTCTGAACAACATCGAATGACCCTCACTCCTTTACATAAGCTTAATCACATATGTGTCCGGCAACTTGTGAGTAGAACACATCAAAAACCACTGGTATTCGGAATACACTTCCAGGGTTTTACATGACGCACAATTCCTGCGTATTTGACGCAACAATTTTGTAAACGACTCTCAAAATATTATCATACGAGTCAAGCTTGACGCAAGTTTTATGGGTGGCCCTCACAATTCAGTTCAATAAAATCGATTTGATAAGCAAAAAATGATATTGTTTGATGATAGTTTGACTATTACAGGGCTGTCAGATTGTTCCAGAGAACTCAGAGGAGAGAGTAATCCTGGCTGTTTGAGTGAGTGAGTTTAGTTTTACGCCGCACTCAGCAATATTCCAGCTATATGGCGGCGGTCTGTAAATAATCGAGTCTGGGCCAGACAATCCAGTGATCAACAGCATGAGCATCGATCTGCTCAATTGGGAACCGATGACATGTGTCAACCAAGTCAGCGAAACTGACCACCCGATCCCGTCAGTCGCCTCTTATGACAAGCATAGTCGCCTTTTATGGCAAGCACATGGGTTGCTGAAGACCTATTCTACCCCGGATCTTCACGGGTCCCTGGCTGTTTGAATTGAACAATGCTGTAGTGTCATTTGGTGGTTTGACATACACAGTTACATACTGAGAATGATTAACACAAAGAAATATTAAAATTTTCATGACTCCCAAATATTGAAAATGACTCCCAATAATAAATATTGTGAGTCACCATGACTCCCATTTTTAAAAGTCTGTGTAAAACCCTGCACTTCACTGACGTAATAGCTCAGTGAGTAGACCGGCTGACGACGACTGCCAAGCCAGAACCAATCGTCGGAATTGTTGTTAACCTTCCACATCGGTGACCGATACGTCTCGGAGGTAGTGCGACAAACAAACGTGTCAGACTTCCAAAAGCATCCTTCCATAATCGCCGTGAGGGAGCAGTTACTATGTAACGCTATAGTGGAGGCTAATGCCCTAGTCTTGTGGGGATTAGACGCAGCCGGCGGTGGTTATTCGGCGAACTTATAAGCTGACAGGATGGTAGATCGCATCCAATAGGATAAGGTGGTACGGGATACTTCGGTCCAGGATGCAGTAGACAGAGGGATGAACGGCTGTTTCCTTAATCTGTCTCGGTTCTGTGATGCAGCCAAGTAGATTCTAATCGCTCTAACTGAGCAGAGTGCCAAATCATTAGTGTCGTTATGACCCAATATGATGGACAGTGGTGGGATGGTAAACACACGATCCAGCTGTACGGGCAACTGGTGTTTAGCGACGAAATCCCAACGGAGTCCGAGAAAAACCCTGCCCCGCTCCTACTGCTCGAACTTCATCCATGAAACATCCAGTGCATGGAGTTCCGATATACTAGCGGCAGTTGCCAGAGAAACCAGGAAGAAGGTCTTGAATGATATGCGGTCAAAGGCTCATACTCGTCTGAGACCAGATGATGTAAAACAACAGATAGATCCCATGCGGGAGGTCGGAACTTCTGAGATTGGTCGGCAAGTCTACAAGTACGCAGGAGGTACTGGAGTTGACGGAACGTTTATCCTAGTAAAGGTCGCAAAAATTGTGTTGATAGCCGCCAGATAAGTAGCCAGTGTTGTACCCTTCAACTTCTTAGTAGAATGAAGATGTTGTAAGAACTCTGCAGAGGCAGAGTAGGTGAAGAACATACTCTGTTCATACAAAAACGCTTCAAAATCTTTTCCATTTATCATCATACAACGAGCAAGTCCGGAATACCAACTTGGGAAGGTGATGGTTGAATCTCGTTACGAATAAGTCCACCTGTGGTCTGGTTAACGGGTAACACATCGTCTGGAATATTGATGGGAGCAACTTCAATTCTGTGGGGATGGTTGACTGGCCTGGGATAGAGCCGCCTGCAATGACATTCTTGATCCCCGTCGAATGTGTCTTACCCTTACGACAATGTTGAGGGAGTCTATTAGTTTGTAGAACCTTAGCTTGTCGATGAGATGTGACGAGCATGTTGATCCCAGATGGTTGATGTAAAAGACCACTGTTGCATTGTCTCGACTGAAGCAGGAGATTGGTGGACTGTAGATAATTCAACCAATCTTCTATTGCTAGAATGCTAATTTCTCTAGCAAAAGTACCTATTGTAGTAAGTAGAACTGTTAGCCTGGCTGGCTGGATAGGTTCGGTGCAATAGGCTGGTCGTGAGAGGCTGCATACAGATTATTGGTAGTCTGTATCCTGTCGCTTGGGTATTCATGACAAACGGCTCGCTCAATATTTTCCAGTTGGGTACGAATAGTCCCAGTCTTCGGCATAGTCAATCGGCACGACTGGAGGCGGAAGGTCCCAGTCGTGCGGTGATATCCTTTAGTCACTATTGTCCAGAGCCGGCTCCAGTCCTGGAGTCGGTCCTAGGGGAACGATGGGATGAGGTTCCCTCAATTTATGTCCTCTTTGGCAACGAAAAAGCCTCCCTGAAGTCTGGGTTAGATGGAGTAAAGGAAGGTGTCTTATGCTGACGAAGAGCTTCCTGCAAGTAGGTTTTCTGAAGTTGCATTAGATTCACCGAAACCAGAAACTGGTTTCCTCTGTCCACTTTTAAAAGAAACCTTGTGGATCTGTCCATTGTAAAGAGATTCGACAGACCATGGTTGTCTAAAAAAGTTCAACCTTGTATCTGTCCTCCCATGATGAATGATTCAACGCACCTTCTGCGCCTCGTATAGGCTAGCACATGAGACCCCCAAAATGAGACATCTGTCCGAAGACAGCAGACAGCTGTTCAATAATCACGCTCAAGCACTCTGATTTAAGCATCCTGGTTAGATACTGCATGTTGTAATGTCTCATTCACTGCATCAATAGGGGATAAAATATAGTTCAAAGCTGGAAGGGTTCGACGAATGGACGTTTCCCGGTGAGCCAGGCATAGTGTATTAATATCTTCATCCATTGTAGGAGCCATGGCAAGACGCGTCAGTCCATGTACATGAGCCGCACTGATTGAGAACCTTGGTGCAGAGAACCCATCTCGAACGCGCTTAAGATTCTTGAAGGCCAAATCTAATGATCCTGTGATGCGAATGATACAGTCTTTTGGTTGTAAAGTAATAGATGACATATCTTGTCCCCTCATGCAACACGATGAAATAATATCTGCTGAAGTGCTTCTTGGTAACTTCAATTTTTCAACAATCCATGCTAAGACCTGGCCTGGTTCGGGTGATATCAAAACTCCCATCGGATCCAGATATTTCGGGTCCGAATGATTTGGTGACAAAGTCTTATGTCAACGAATGGAGTAATAGTAGGTACAGCAGCTGTAGGTACTGGTATCTGGATAGGTAATCGTAGAGGTACAGGAAGTACCGTGAGTCGCCGACTGCTGCATAGTCGACAAGGCAGTAGTGAATGCTCGCAACATCATCTCAAAATTAGGTTGTTGGAGTTGAAACTCCCCGTAGTTACCCATGACGTAGGCAAAGTATGTTGCTGAAGTGGTATCTCACTATGACTACCCGAATCCATATTCCTAGGCAGAGGTACAATATTCGCCAAATCGCAGTCTGGATTCGAACCTGCAATCTGAGATGCTCTCGAAACTGTACTGGAAGCTCGTCGGCGGTATGTCACATGAGAGCCCGAATGACGTAAATTCGATGAATGGTGATGGCTCGTATATGAGCGAGTAGGAGACATTCGGCGATCCTCCATAGAAGAATATCCTTCGAAAGTGCGACCTCGATGATGAGGAATGGTGAGAATCCTGCCTGATGATAGCGATCGATATCTCGATAAATGATGGCTAGTCGATTGTCGATGTATGATATGAGATAGATCAACGGATTGAAGCCGCCATGGGATCACTGACAGGTAGGTTCGCCGCACCCGATGTTGTAGGTAATCGCGACAACGCCAAACGAGGTCAGACACACCAGAAGTTCCTGTCTGGTTCGTCTTATCTATGACCACGAACCCTCGAAGATATAGATGATCGACAAATCTACATCTTCATTCCCCAGTAAATAGGAGTTGGAAGAAGCGTCCAGAAAATCATCCCTAGGTTCGGACGATGGTGTGGATCCCCTTTTGCTACTTTGGGATCGCATCTACTCTTTAGACTTTTTAAGAAGATGGGCCATGCTCTCCTGATGTCCTCCGGATAGTCTGTCCACACGTACCAAGGGACCCAACTTTCTTATATTCAGTGAAGCTTTCAGTCAAAGGTTTACAGTAGGAACTTACTATCCTGAAGAACAAACCCCACACAATCAACACATGATGTATGGGGATCAAAGCAACAGGGAAGATAGTTCTACATTTATCACAAAGTTTCCTTTTCAGAAGAAGATGTTTCTTTTCTTCCTAATACTAACATATGGGACCCGTGATTCTTTGTGGAAAAGATTTAGGTTCACAAATAAGCTGCCTGCACTGATCAGCTTACAAGAGAGAATGATCACTAAGGGAGGATCATGCGACTAGGCAGTGGAGCTGCGGATGCATGCCTCCTCTCGAGGGAGACAGCCAGATGTCCAGGAAGGAGGACAAAATGGATGGCGTGGGTGCTTGACCAGATGCTGAGATATGTCTTCAAGGTTTTTGTTTCCACTCATCTCAGTGAGAATTAGAGAGAGAGAAGTACTATAATGCGAAATAGGATAAGTTTAAAACAACCATGTAAAACAATATGAAGAGCTCATCCATCGAAAAGCTTGGTACAGGCCAGAATAAGCGCATTTTGCTTACAATAAAAGTCTGATCACATGATATGAAAGTGGCAGTGGTGTTATGCTCAGTTATGATGGCTGACGAGAGATTGGCATCTCCATGTCATCTCCCAGAATGCCACCCTTCTTCTTCCTGTAGAGGTCCCAGAACCACAGCAGGCCTTCTTTCTGATGCATGTAGAGCTTCTCATAGAACTCCCTGTACAGGTAGAAGCCTTGACCAAGATGTTCCATAGTGCCATCCTCCTCCTCCTCCGAGCTTCCCCCACCATACTGGGCTAGGTACGCCTGGAAATGAAAGTTTGACGGATTTATAGGGAATTCAGTTTGGGAGAAAAAAATGTTTAAACAGCTCACTAAAATACTGGTCACCTCTACAAAACCAACACAATCAAATCTACAGAAAAAATGAACTGCAAAATTTGAAATAATAATAAAACAATTTTTTCAGGCAAGTGAGTGAGATGGGGTCTATTCGGCTTTTGGCAATATTCTTGAAATATCACACCAGAAATGGGCTTCACAAATTGTATCGCTATGGAAAATTGAACCTGGGGCCTCTGCATGATGACTGACTGACTGAGTTTAGTTTTACGCTGCTTTTAGCAATATTCCAGCAATATCACGTCTGCATGATGAGCAAACGCTTTACAAACATGGAAACACCAAATGTCTGACTTCTACTTAACAGTGAGCAAGTGAGTTTAGTATTATGTCGTACAACAATATTCCGATCAGTAAATAATTGAGTCTGGACCAGGCAATCCAGTGATCAACAGCATGAGCATCGATCTACACAAATGGTCTACTTAATGGGGGGCAGTGGGGTAGCCCAATGGTAAAAGCATTGCTCGTCATGCTGAAGACCCGGGTTCGATTATCAACATGGGTACAATGTGTGTACCCAAATTTTTGGTGTCCCCGACGTGATATTGCTGAAATATTGCTAAAAGCTGTGTACATAGAGAATCTCACCCAAGTGTCTTCTAATATCAATTACATCACCACGAGTTGATAAAGTTACAAATATCCGAGGCTTGCCGGGGATATTTTTACTTTTATCAACGAGTGTTGATATATTTGATATCAGAAGACACGAGGGTGAGATTCTATTTATCATCCAAAATCACTCTTCATTAATTTTCAATGAAAAATGTACATCTCTAAACATGGTACTGCCATTAGACTTGCAGTGCAGCGATGTCATAGCATTCTGACGTCATCAAGTACATGACGTCATAGCATTGTCAGGACATTGTACAAAATCTACTGTCAAAAACGATATCTCCTAGGAGGTATCGTTTGATCTCACACAAGCGATATCTCCTGTGGAACACAGTTTGGGATGATAAAACCATTTACACACTCTACTTTATATGCATTTCACATATGTTCATTATTGGTCACGTCATTACAAGTCATTTCAAATTCAAATCACACACCAACCGTCTGACGTCTGCTGATATGTTCATAAGACAAATTTCCAATCACTAACCTCCATTTTCTTGATCCGTTTGGCTAATTTTTCTGTGTAGTGGATCTTCAGGGCCCGTTTGTTGAATTCCAGGGCTCTATCGACCTGTCCGTGTGAAGCCAGCTTCTTGGCCCTGGTGACCAGCTTATTGAACATGACCTGCTCGTCCACCTGGTGGTCAGCATCGGAACCAGAGGTGTGACTGTCTTTCCTCTGTGGTTTACTGGACATGGGGGATTCATGCTGCAGATTCTGGACTTCTGTGAATGTGATGGAGGAAAACACTTCATTTCCCCTTGTTTATTGTTGAGTAGGGCCATTACGATTCGCTAGCATTTTCGCTGAATAAAACTGTATCCCTTGATGAATTCAATTCCTTATTCAACTTCTGACTTGTTATTGTTACCCAAAACAAATACCATTGCCTGACGACAGGGTCAAGTGGAATTCTCCGGTCGATCAAGTAAATATCCACATTAAGCTTTACCGTGGTACAGTAGTACCAAACTACTGAATTGTTTTGATGTATTTTGATGATGACATAAAAATACAGTTGCTGCCAACTAACGTCTCTGTTTCATTTCCTTGGGTATTCTTAGAACGACTTGCATTGTATTTCTTCAATCGCCATTTGCAATGTTTAGATCTACAAACTTATTGTCATAAATGAGGTCACAATCTATTTACAGTAACATATTGGCTTCTAACTGATATAACCCTAATTTGCATGTTTAGACTAGACTTTTAAGTTATTGGTTTGATGTTACTATCGTACAGACACACACAGTGATTATTGACCGTTAAAATAAGACAAGGACCGGTGAATTCAAGCTATTATCAAATGTCTATCAGTCAAGGGACGGAAAATTTCAACTAGTTACATTCTAAACTAACTATTTTATTCAAAATGAATCCTGAAAACAGAGCTGTAAGCAGCTTTTTGAAAAATACAGATGTAGTCAGTGTATACTAGAGTAATTGGTGTTTTATTGATTAAAAACTGTTCAGAATTTATCAGCTGTTCTGTTGTTTATAATTGATAAAGATTATTTGCAAAAGGAACCAAATTGTTAATTGTGGTCAAGTGAAATTAATATTTGGTCAAGTGGATTTTGAAAGTTACATTTCAACCCCAATGCAATATTTGCATTCGTTACCCAATAATCGTCATCATATCGTATTTGCCCCATACTGTATTCATTGCAGCCCTGCTGGAGGGCTCCAGATAATTTTTCAACATCAGGAGTACGTACTCCTTACTTTTTACATTTAAGAGTACTGGAAAAACTTAAGAGTACATTTAGAGTACTGAATGGAATTTAATGGGGTATGTGATCTTGTGTTTCGTTTCATATATGCACAACATTGCTACTCTTGTGTAAACAGGTAAAAATACAATAAAACAATACTTTTTTCAGATAAATACATCTGTAAATGATTCTAAGACCGTACACCATTGCTGTGGTGCATATCTGCTACGTTTTCTAAATTATTTCCTACCGTATCATGAATATTTATCATCCGTACATACGTAAATACTGCCCTTATCTGGAGCCCCGCTGCTGTTTAGCAATATTCCAGGTTCATGGAATGTCTAAGCAATGCCTGGGTGTATGACTACATTTTTGCATTTAAGATTATTGCACTTACGGTATATAGTGACATGCAAGCATATATATATTTGTGTGACAGCTTGAAATTGATATGGCATTGGAATTTTCTTTAGGCATGAATATGGTCACAATGTGACACAATCTGCATGTATATGCTAAAGGTATCATGGTTATATTTAAGAAATGAGTATATCCGGGGTTTTTTTTCATTATTTTAATTTTGCTTAATATTTTATGATAAAGATCTCTCTCTTCTTATTAATATGAGCAAAAACAAAACAAATTGCAATCCCATGCCAAATGCATGTAGAAATGGGATTTGGCCATAATTGGTCCTCAACTACAACTTAGGTTTTAGTACTATTTATGATTTGTAGCTAATCAGTAATATAAATCCCACCCTGGTTGTTGGCAGGCTTTTCAAATAGGTAGATCTATAGTTCCAGAGGAACGACATTTCTCTTATCATAAAATTAATAGGTAACCTGCATGTTTTGACCAATGCTTGATTTTCTTCAATACTGCAGCAACTGTGTTTTCACTAGGGCTGCGATGAATCCACTATGAAGCAAGTATGATACATATGACACATAGGGGTTACAAATATGAATATTGGGTAATGAATACAATGACAAGTCAGTAGTATTATTAATTATATTCAGTTAAAATTACTCAATAACACAGTAATTCTTTGACATGTTTCCATCATGTTGACTGTGTTCATTATTCTTGACAATAACCAGTGACAACATTACTGCTAAATTAATCAAAAGAGTTGAATATGTTTCATCCATGAGCAGTCACCAAAATGACTAAACATAGGCAACAATATTCCAGCTAGTTGGCCTGTAAAGTGAAGTTGTGAAGATGGTGGAAGATGAATGACTTGAATTCATACAAATGATTTCGTATTAAACTGGCAATCTAGAGTTGCAGGCTGAAATACATATCCACTGGAATATGGAAACTGGCAAGACACATGCATGTGCTTACTATTGGTTTCGGATGAGACACGTGACAGATGTTTCTTTCACTGTTGAATGACAGCTGTATGAACATCGATTTTTAAGGCCCACCCGTGACCTGAATGATATCTCTCTCGTGATTTATAAATGTGTCTGAAATAACTAAGACTTTGCAAGTGAATGACAAAACAAAATCATTGAATGACTGGCAACGGTCACAGCCTGTTTCTCCTACATATCAATAGCACACACAGAAAAATAGACTCTTCAAAGTTTCAAACCCCACCCAGAATTTGCCAGCCTGACACTGTCACGTTACTGCTCACCTTTGAATGGTCTCTTGTCACTGATAGTGATGCCACCAAACTGCCTTTCCGTGTTTTCAACATCAGAATCCATGGTGAATAATTCTTTATCCACAATGACAGTCAAATCAAACCACAATACACATGCCTATGATATTCAGCCTTTCGAAAAGTGCGCCAATCAACAGGAAGCTCTCTTCTGTGCAACTTCGCTTTACAGTTACCCCCCTTTAGCAAACTCCCTGCATAGTCCGATAACAATGCGTTGCGTGGAGCATTTACGACATGCGACAGGGAGTCGAGAACCACTGTCTTGCCAGGAGACTGACGCTCAAGTATCTGAATATATACTCATTCCAATAATGGTTGTCACCCCCCTCCCCACCCCAACCCCACACACACCTCACACCCCCTCTCAAATTAAAACAAATGAAGGGGGTGACAACCATTATTGGCATGAGTATATATACTCATGCAATGATGGAACGAATAAGGGAACACATGAAAGTAGTACTGCTCCTTTATATATTTCCAGAATTTCACCCACAGTGCAATACATACCTTGTGAAGAAACCTGGAAAAGAATAAATGAACACTTATACTTGTTTCCATGTGTATATATAAATTTAACAGTAACAAACAACTCCTTTTAAAATGAAAAGAATCCCCAGTGAGATGGGACTTTCAGACCCCGAGGAAACCTAACTTGCTTCATTTGGGGCTTTAGCCCTTCAGCACCACAGAAAGGGCTAGGCGGAAAATAATGCGGTTAACGGGCTGTGAGACTGTATCCCCAAGCCCAACTGAGAGTCCCAGAATATACGTATCTCAGAGATTAGACAAAAACATTCGCAAAGGAATCCACGAGCATTAATCAAGACAAACTTAAGAAAATATTTATTGTGTCTCTCGGATAGGCCTTTGCTAAAAGCCTTATGTAAATTTAGAATATCTCTTCATGATTTTAATATTAATCACCTACGTAGAAACAAACATGAACGGTTATCTCCCAATTGACAGACACCCATTTGACAGACACCCAACTGACAGACACTGAACTGGAAGGTTAATTAGGGTAACACCTACGAGTATAATGGAATAGTCCACTGTGTAGTGAGTAGAGCAGGGTGAGCCTGAAACAGGTTCGTTACTGAGAAGTTTGATTGTGGGTAAATAGAACTTTAATTTGTTGTGATTAAATGATAAATGATTTCTCTTCTCAAAACTGATTAATTACTGTCGAATATAAAATTGATTGTGTTTATTGATAGAAAAGCCCCCCTCCCAATAATAGCATATGTACAACAGAAGTTAACTGAGAAAACGTTTTGTTGGAGAGATATAGGTATGTACATATTTGAAAACATTCTGATTTGCAGTAAATGAGACACCTGCATTGCCATGTAAGATACGATTAATACAAATCAGTGTTCTAATTTTAACAATACTGTCTAAAGATTGTAACAGTTTATGTCTTTGAGTAGTATACAATGGACATTCAAGGGAGAAATGAAAATATTTATTCTAAATAAATTGTGATTAAGTGCACTTAATAACTTCTTTATTCCATATGAATAATATTTAGGTTCACATTTGTCTTTATTTGATTTATATGATACAACAGTGTCGCAATTTCTAATAGCTAAGCTAATGTTTTCAATATGATGATGCCGACACCCGTTAGACTAGAAGGTTAAACTGAAATGTTTATGAAAATAGACCTTTTTTTTTTTATTACAGCAATAAAAATTCAAATTACTGTATTTTCGTCCATCTTTCAATATAAATGATATAGCTTCAGCTTGTTCCTGTGTTTTTATTTGGACTATTCCATTATAATGTGTAGGTAACAGGTAGTAGATAATCTGTTCACTGAACCGTAAATGTTGTTGTTTTAAGGTGTCTGCGAACTGGCTGTCTGCGTAATGGGAGGACACCACATGAACATGTATATAAATCACTGTTTGCAATGTGATTTTAACGTTATGGAGGACGAGGTCAACGTCCTGTTTATTTGTAAAAAAGTATCATGACCTGAGATTAAAATATCTCCCAAGCCTATCAAATGTTAAGCACTATTCAGTGAAACTCTTGTGTAATATATTAAATACAAATAATGAGGATAATTTATGAGCACTCGCCATTTTTCTTAAAAATGTATTTCTATTGAGATGTAAATGGAAATAGAAATATTACTGTATTGTTCACCGCGTGACATGTAATCTATCAAATACAATTGTATGCTAGGCTATGAGGCCGAAATACTGAATAAATATATATCATATATATCCAGACAAACTTATACATTGACCCCGAATTAAATGTAATGTAAAGATCATATAGATAAACCCACGGGAATAAGGAAACCCCACGATGAATATACCAATTAGGTTGGGGCTGAGTGAGTGAGTGAGTATTGTTTTACATCACTTTTAGCAATATTCTTCTATATTTTAAAACCACATCTTGATCTGTGACATTGTTGAATACATTGCGCTCATAATCTATACTGTTTACAACATTAATGGATTACATGTATATTTTTATTGCAGGGTATTAAATCTGATTTACACATTTAGCGATTGTTTCAGGAATTCTTTATGATTATACATTGAATACTGACTTCAAGTATATGTAACACCTACCAAGTAAATGTTCTTTTTCTGCCGTTGTTAGTCTGACTGTGAGACGTTTACTCTCATCTCCTTCAAGAACGGGTGAGAGAATCTTCCGACTTCTCGACTTCATTTTACTACGCTGACTCATCTGGAGAGAAAAAGGAAACCTGAATCTGTAACAACAGGCCAGCTACTGGATCATGGCTTCGATAATATGGTAGTTACAAGAAATTCAGATATGCTGTTGTCCAGAACATATAGTAGTTTGCAACAGAAAGACTTACAAGGAACGAAACTTTAACATAACATCTTTCAAGCAAGACATTTTAATCCTTTTCAGTCAAAAAAGAAATAATTCTTACCGTATTCTAATAATGAGAATTGCACTGGGGAAACGCTACACTAAACAAAAAAATATGAATATTCCGACAAGCAGGAAATGCACGTCTGATAGCTACGATGCCGAGCTGGCGACTGTGGCTGGCCATCCTAGGAACCATTCTATGACGTCATCCTATTGTTCCCTTCTGTGACGTCACTGGAATGGACGAGAAATATCTCAAAGGGCGATAACTCTCTTCTTTCCGTGATTCTTGTCAGCGACATAGATGATAGTTAGATTGTTGGAAAGGATGGTTATCGTACTGGTGTTAATTATGAACATGGAAACTACATGAAGAGTAATCTTTCTTTCTGTATTTTCATATAAGGTTTTGGCAGAAAATAGATTTTAACAAGAAAGCTACTGCATAACTATAAAAAAATACTTTTTAAAGATGTTGAAAATGAGAAGGTACTGGAATACCTTTTTGTTTACAGATACAAAGGGAGATAACTGACCTGTCTAAATTACGTTCTGGTATGCGTTTTTATTATCATTTGTGGTGATATTGCCGTTATGTATAATGAAAAAAAGCATTAAGAGAAATATTATTTTTTGAAGGTGATGACATATCTGAGTCACATGCCCCTGCTAACCGATGCACAACGTTGCCAGACATTGTTAGCAAGAGAATCATAGTCAACTGAAGTCAGGATCCAACACCTTATCTCTACACCAACGGCGATTCCATTGATGGTGGCGTGGTAACGATGTTGAAGAAATCCATCAGATGTTTTCAAAATATCTAGTTTACATCATTTGTAGATTTCTTTGAATATGTTAAAGGGACGGTTCTCAATGCAAAGTCTTCAATGATCTCCGACTGTGTTTATTTTGTTACATTTTTTGTAATGATCGTTATGTGATTGTGGAAACACTTCTGTCCCTATTCTTTGCAGCTGATCGTATGTGCTACAGTTGACTGGAATAAAATAGCTCCCCTGTATTTATTGCGGACGAACATATGACATTGATCTCGTTTTGATGGATATTATGTATACATAGCCAAACGGTTACTACAGGAAAACTGTGTGTGTTTTCTAGGGCTGCAACGATTCGGTTCGATTCATCGAAAATCGAATTGAATCTGACACCTTAGTTTCGCTTTCCGATTACCATTATCACTATTTCTATTCCTACCTATTGGAATTATTTCCACACAGCCAGAAAGTAAATTTGACTCCAACTCGAGCAGTTTCGAGCGCTGAAATAAGGCGAAACGTGCTTGGATGACGCCGGGTTAATTATCCTATGTTGTTAGTAGACATCGCCACGTTGATGATGGATTTCACACTGAAAAAGCCACTCTGGGAGTTAAATGAAATCTGTTGTTTTTACTTGTATGAAGAATCGAGTCGAAAATGATCGAATCGAGGGTCAATTATTGAAATTCGAATCGAATCGAGGTCTAGGTAAATCGCTGCAGCACTAGCACTGTTTTCAGATAGTTGGAAGACATACTAGTATATTACTGAAACATTCCATTTGAAAGAATAATCAAATAACACTTGTAAAACAAAATAAACAATATATTTTTAATTTTGCATTCTTGGTAAAAGTGAAAGAAATTATTTTAACCTTTACCAGGGAACAAAAACGCACAATATTTGGAATCATTAAAAGTACTGTGAAGGATGATTAAATCTCTTTTTAGGGTAATAACATTGTAATAATTTTGCACATGCGTTGGTGCCGCTCATTGAGTGTAAATCGGAAGATTGTTTGGATATTTTTTCACATGTGGGATCTGCGGTTGTGTAAACTTTCGCGTCCGACGTTCCACCATAGCCGAACATTGTGAGGTGACTTTTCATTAAGTGTTACCTGTGTGTTAGGAGGCGACTCTGCGTCGGTACAGCCGAACTTGTTTTCCCAGAGCCGTTATATTCTGCCAGTTATATAAGCTCGTGTGTTAAGGTGTTGAACACGGGTTAGAATTGGTCTTCAGTAACCCATGCTTGTCGTAAGAGGCGACTAATGGGATCGGGTGGTCAGGCTCGCTGTCTTGGTTGACACATGTCATCGAATCCCAATCGATGCTCATGATGTTGCTCACTGGATTGTCTGGTCAAGACTCAATTATTTGCAGACCGCCGCCATATAGCTGAGTGCGGCGTTAAACAGCAACCAATCAACCTAACGTGTTGCTAGGGTGTATAGTGACAGTCTGCATGGTACGATGACATG